TCCCGCTTGCGAACGGCGCCGAACTGTGTGCATTTGGACTGACCCGTTTTCTTTGATCCATCTCCATGCAAACAAAGGGTTTCATGACATTTGGGTTGTCGATTCTCATTTGAGGGATTTGAACATTACACCTCTCTCTGCACTTCAAAAAACGGCGCCTAAAATTGTGCAACATATTTCTGAATCAGTCTTGCTTTACTGGGCCGCTGATATGCCGTGCACGGAACGATCATCACGTGACAAGAGAAATTTTCATACAAACGCATTCAAAACAACATGTTTTTTTGGTTGTCGTTTTTTTGTTTTCTTTTGTTCTCTTTTTTTCACGACTTAATTCGACCGTGTTGTTGTGGTCAACTGGAAGCCGGCGGTAAACCGTTAACCTTGGTTACATCCGGGAATTCGTAGATCTTCCTTGGCATATACATGAATGGCATGCGACCGCGGCAATCTCGCATTCAGCGCGCACGAGTGTGTGCGATTTCATAGAAATGTGCTGGACAGCTCCTTGCTTGTCCACAGCTTGAGTTCAGATGAGATACTGCAGACCAGCGCTCGTGATGATTTTCATTCGAACAGTCTGCCTCCTAGCTCCGTAGGGCCTACAGCTCGTTTTTTTTTTTTTTTTTTTTTTTTTTTTTTTTTTTTTTTTTTTTTTTTTTTTTTTTTTTTTTTTTTTTTTTTTTTTCCAATATATATATATATATATATTATTATTTATATACATAATATACATATATATATAATTTATTAAAAAGGGTTGTTCCAATTTATTTTTTTATCACGCCTCGGGCAGCACGAACCACACCACAAGTCTGCGAGAGTGAAACATTCCGGCCGCGACCATCATCAAGACGGTTGCCAGTCTCTGAGAGAAAGCAAAGGGTGAAAAGCAAGCGGCCTGCGCCAGCTTAAAACCGTCTGCCAAGACGCCACGCCATTGCGAGCACAGGCAACAACAAGTTCTTGCAAGTGAGATTGAAACTGCTTCACACTGCTTTGACCGATTATGCTGTCTGGCAATATGTTGTAGACACGAACGGCACCGAGCTGCGACCGAGAGACATAGTCCAGAGACGAAGCAGAAATCGGAACCACCAGATGACGAATGTGCCGACGCGAGGAGGCGGAGGCGGAGCGGAGGGAGCGAGGAGGAGGAGGAGGGGAACGAGCAAGACAGAAAAACTGCTGAAACACATTTGGCCCTAGACCCAGCACCGTCCTGTGAATCATCCCAAGGATAGCGATGTCTCGGCGGGTTGCGAGAGGAGCCAGCGAAAACGACAATATAGCGTCAAGCTCTGACATATCCAATGCCATGAGAAAACGCTGTTGCACGCCATCTAGAAGAAGAAGGGAGGAGGAAGAAGCATGAGAGATAGCTGGCGTACGGTACTCTAGATACGATAGAACATGACTTTTGTACAACTGCACAAGCTCTCTTGTTGTGTAGAACTGCCGGCAGGACAAAATCTGAAGAGACCTCCAGCCGCCTTCACACGCACACTCACTGATCGCATCATGCATTAAAAGTTTACAATCGAATAATATACCCAAAATCTTAAAGCTGTTTCCTACTGGAGCACTGTGAGACAGGATGTGGAAGCTCTCTTTTCCTGACTCGAAAGTGACACCGTTCGCCCGGCCCCACTTGTGAAGTTCCTGTTGGCACTCGCCCAGATGAGAAAACAATGCATGATCGGGCACCGCATTGTCAAACAGTTTGAATGCATTAAGATCATCTGCGAAAACTACCTCCTGGAATCCACAATTTACTATAGGATCCCGGGCGTCGGAATAGAATTCGTTCCAGAGGCTGGGACCAAAAACGGTTCCCTGGTAAACCATGTTACACATAGGAACACACTCTGAGACAGCTCCGTTGCACACAACATATGCTGACCTTGGGGCGAGCCAGTCTGTAAGTACCAATAAGATCTTGGGGTGGATACCTGGCGCGGCTAGCTTGTTACGAAGACGCTCCGCCGATACCCTATCAAAGGCGCCGGCCACGTCAGAACAATAGAGTGCTACCCGCCTGCCCTCTCCAAAGGCGCGGAGCCAGCACATCGTGAAAGACAAAATTGCATCACGTGCGCCTCGTCCAGGCGAGTAGGCAAACTGAAATGCACCGAAGGATAAACAGCGATTGAGGGGAGGGAGGAAGATACTACAGATAAATCGCTCCACTGCTTTGGAGAGCTGGGAGGTCAGCTGCAGACCCCGATAGTGATCGGCATTATGTTGCGAATTACGTTTATGAAGCGGGTGGATCCAATGAACAGTCCAGAACCGTGGCCAGCGCCCACAACTGAGGATGAGGCGAGTAAGGAGGACAAAGGGCACGGCCAACTCTTCGCAACGCAATTTCAAGACTCGAGCTGGAATTAAATCTGGCCCCGTGCCGCTATCGATGGGAAGATCCTTCAAAATCCTGTGTGCGACACGGAGGCGGAGAGGGGGGAGAGGAAGAAACGAGGAAGACGGAGGCGGAGAGGGAAGAGGAGAAAACGAATTCGTCTCTAATGTAGGAACGTGCCATTTCGAACGAAAGCTCTGCGCAAATAGGTTTGCCTTCCCGGCCGGGTCCACGATCCAAGATCCTGAAGAGGAGCGGAGAGGAGGGGAAGAAGACTTATTGATTTTCGATAGCAACTGTCTAGAAAGCTGCCACCAGCCTTTCGATCCCGCCTTCAGCAACTGAAGTTTGTTGCGAGTACGATCGATGAAGGCGCGATGTGCAGAAAGAAGATGCCGACTACAAGCTCGCACCGCCAATGGAAAATCTGGCGTGCCAGCAGTATCGCGTTTTGCCCGGATGCTGTCCAGACACGCAGAGGTAAGCCAAGGATGGGAAGAATTCATACGGATTGACGACTGCGGTATGTGAAGCTGCATGGCACTGAAAACCTTCTCCGTGACAGCGCGTGCTGCCGCGTCAGGCGAAGATGCCGGAATGAAACTCCAATCAGTATTACGAAAATCACAACGCATAGCCGACCATCGCGCTTCCCTATACTTCCAAACCGGACGGGGGACAGAAGAAACCGAGAGAGGCGGGAAGGACAAGGAGGGAAGAACAAGACGATGGTCGGCAAGCTCTGGCAAGACTGTAGTAGAGACTTGATCTGGAAGGTCGGTGAGAACTAAATCCAATAAATTCGGGCCTCGAGTGGGCTGCCGAACCTTCTTTGAAACCGTGCATCGTGCACCAATGCTGCATCGCCAAACCCTCCGGAGTAACTCCCCTGGAGAAACGCGACCATCCAGTGTGATGTATGTTCAGATCTCCTACCACGACCGTGCCTACCGCAAGATTCGAATGCGCCGCCCATTCAGCACTGAACGCATTGATGCTTGCGATTCCGCCGTCGTGGGGTGGACGATACCAACAAGCAAGCAAGACTGGACCTAGAAGCGAATGATATAAAAAACCATATGATCTCAGCAGATGAAGAGCGAGAGAGAGGAGAGAAGAGACTGTCTAAACAATCTTGCACAAAAACAAGAACACCGCCACCATTCCTGTTACGATCACGGCGCTCCAAAACTGTGTAATGCAAAAGCGATGGAATGCTGCAAGCGCTGTCTAGTTTCGTCTCATTCAAAACGAGAGCGGCAGGAAGAAACGGCAACGACGCAAGACGACCTTCCAGCTCTGCCTTACGAACTAAGAAACTATCGATATTTACATGAAGTATGGTGAGGCTTTGTGAAACAAGAGACGGATCGGATCCGGATTCTCGCGGATCCCCGTCTCGAGGCAAATTGCGTGAAGAAGATTCTGAACTTCGAGCGAAATAGCTCGTCAATCAACGCTGCGAGAAATCGATGCGAGAGAGAGGAACAGAAGGAGGCAGCGCAGAAGACGAGGGAGAAGGACGAGGAGGAGAACTGCCTGTCAGCGAACTCGAAAGAGTACCTGGCTTGCAACTGGAGGGTCGATATTCCACGGCAGAAAGCAATCGATTCCGACGCTTTTCAAGCGAACCAGCGGATCTTGGACCACGCCGGCGGAGACGAGAAGATGCTGCAATACCCGGGGACCGCTCACAATCCGCAGCGCCGGCTATCTAAACATCGAAGACCGCAAGTAGTTTTGCAGTCGCAGTTCTGGTGGCAGACCGATCTCAGCCGTCTGAGTGCTTTGAACTGGCGCTTCTCAGCATGTCCTGTCGATTTGTGTATCTGAGCTCCGTATCTAGCCTCGTGTGCTTCCTAGCTCCGTAGCCAGCCTCCAGCTCGAATAACGTAGGAAAACGAACATCATCTCTTAACGAATTAGCAGAGTACGAATAGTTTTTTTGGTCCGAGTTTTGTCAGCAGACCGACCTCAGGCATCCAGATACTTTAGTCTAGCATTCCTGATGGTTCTCTTTCGATTGCTGCGCCGAGTTAAGTTAAGAAAACCGACAGCACCTGCCAAGATGACACTCAACAGCCGATTACGCCTGAGTGCTTTTTGATAGTAGTATCCGCCCGATCGACCTGATATCAAGATGGCGAGCGGCAGAAAGATCGAAGATGGGGGGAAAATATTAGAGTTCGAGCGAATTGTTGAATTTCGAGAAACTGATTTTTAACCGACCGAAATTATGCAAAACTTCCGTTCGGATTTTGCGTGCCAGCTGGCCCGCCAGCGCGCCCGAATTACTCTTAAGCTTCGCCGCTTCGATCTTAGGCAAGGTCTACGAGTCACTCTTTGGTTCGACCTCATCCCCGATTGTCCTTGGCGTTGGCACGTAACCATTTCTTTCTGTATTCGGTCACGCACCGTCACTATGATGGCGGTCGCTTGCTTCACCGTTCCGGGTCCACGCATTTTCTTAACGTGTGTGTACACGTTTATGTATTTTGTATGTGTATGTGCTGCATTGCTGCATTGTAGCAGCACGAGGCGTAGGCATCAACCAAAGCTGTGGAGTGTCACCCGTCCATATTTTCGCGCTTTCCCTGCTGGTCTCCTTTTTTTGGTTTCCCATCGTCGGCATTTTTGCTCTGCTCGTTGGAAGGCGTGGACATAGGCAGGTCGTAAGCGCAGCGCCTTCTCGGGGGCAGCGCTTGATGCCATGCGCAGGAGAGGTAGCTGGAGAGCCAGAATGGTGGTGGGTGGCGTTGCAAGAGCTGGGAACTGCATCGGCGATGGTTCTTCTTGGTTGTTTCGGACGTGGCGCGAAACCGTCTTGCTGTGCTGCAGGGCGCTCGCACGGGACAGTCTTGGCTGTGAGGCTGAGGCTCTGGCCCACGTCAAAATCCCAATCATGTCCGCATCCTTGTCCTTCCTTCGGTGGTCCAGACTGAATCGTTGAATCATAGTAAGAAGGACGACGTTCCGCTGCGCCGGCTAAAGGGCCCCCCATGCACTTGGAGCTGAAGCCCCACCACAGGGATGATGATTATGATGATGCTGATGATGATGATGATGATGATGATGATGCTGATGATGATGATGATGATGATGCTAATGCTGATTCTGATGCTGATGATGATGCATCTGATGATGATGCTGCTGCTGATGATGATGATGATGATGACCCGGGGAAGGAGGAGCCAGGAGGGGGGAAGTTGGAGAGAAAGGGGGAAGGACGATAGGTGAAGGAGCAGGGAAAAGGAAGGGGACAGAGGGAGGAATCGCCAGAGAGCGGCGGATGATCCGTGGAATTCGAGGGAGGAGGATGGAATCGGAGGAAGAGAAGAGAGAAGGATGAGGAGGAACAGAAGGATGGAAGACGAGGAAGGGGAAGATGCGGGTAGAGGAGGAAGAGGAGGATTGAGGAAATGGTAGGGGAACCAGGAGTGTATCTTAGCCGTTCTGGGCCAGGCTGGAGGGAGTTGTCGTCATCCTCGCGGTGCGCAAGCGCCGACGAGAGGCAGGGCGATTTCCTCCGCTGTGTGGATTTCTTCCTGGTTTTCATCATCGATTTGGTTCAATGGCAGTGGATATCTCTGCTTGCATTGCCGAGTTCGTCGCCATGGCCCTGTTCGTGTTCGTCGGCTGCGGAACTGCTTGTGCCGTCGGCTGCGCAGATGTGGCAGGGAAGTTGGAAACCGCATTGGCCTTCGGTCTCGGCATAACAGTTCTTGCGTATACGGTAGGAGCCCACAGCGGCGGACAGATCAATTGTGCTGTCACCTTCGGCCTTCTCATTGCCAGCCTCTTTGGGGTCGGTGACATCATCAGCGCTCCCCAGGCTGTGGCCAACTTTGTCGCTCAGACTGTGGGTGCCATACTTGGTGGCGAGTTAGTGGCGGCTGTCTTCGTCGGCAAGAACGACCAGACAGGGGGCCTGGGATCCAACGCTCTCGGCGATGGCGTGACCGGCATAAGTGCGCTCGTCGGCGAGGTGCTCGGAACCTTCTTGCTAGTGTACGTCGTCCTGGAGACTGCCGTGAACACGAAGTCCGAGGCGAATCGCACCCTCGCGCCCCTCGCGATCGGCTTCGCTGTCTTCCTCGCGCACTGCGTCCTCATCGCGGTCGATGGCTGCTCCATCAACCCCACCCGCACTCTGGGGGCGGCTGTGGCCGCCACCCTCCGCCACTCCGACGATGGGGCGCTGATGGACAAGATCTGGTCCCCCATGTGGATCTTCTGGGTCGTCAGGGCAGCCAGTTCCACGGCGACAGTGGGGACGGCGACAGTGTTGCCTAATGTAGCAGCAGCAGCAGCAGCAGCAGCAGCAGCAGCAGCAGCAGCAGCAGCAGTAGGAGCAGGGGATAGAGGCGGGGCCTTCCTCTTGCGAGCGTGCGGCCGCCTACCATCGCTCTTTGAGAGTGAGAGCGAGGCAGGGTCGGAGTCTTCTTATTGGTTGTCGACCACCTCCCCCTCCCCTCTTTCGGGGTGGGGGTTGGGGCGATTGTCACTGTCACTTTGATGCTGGCTGCACCTTTCAGGTCGGGCCACTGGTCGGGGCTTTCCTGGCGGTGGGCTGCTACAAGCTGGTGAACATTGATGCGGCCCCAGTGGCCTCGAAGGGCGATGCGACCGACAGGGATCAGTTGATTTGTTAGCAGTGTCTCGCCGCCGCCTCTTCACTCACCTCACCCACCCGCATTCCCCCTCTCCCTCAGACTCTCTCACACTCAGACTCGCTCACACGAAATATCACTCACTCCATCGTGCTCGCACGCGCAGACCCACGCATATTCTTGCGCGCCCTCTCGTAGCCTCGAGCACACGCTCCCATACTTCAGAGCAGTCGAACTCAGATTCGCTCCAGGGGTCGACTCACTCACACTCATACTCCCTGCTGCTCACACTCACTCGTGCACAGCCTCACTCCTGACTCACGCTCCCGATCACCGCGATGTGACGGGCACCGCGCTCGGGCCTCCCAGGGGAGTCGCCAGGAGGGGCCTCACTCGGAGGGGCCTCCCGGGCGGAGTGGCCGCCGGGCAGCGTGAGGCTCGTCTCCCCTCGGGGCCCCTGCTCGCCGCGGCGCGACGGGCGCCGCGCTCGCGCAGGCCTCCCGCGGGGAGCGCCGCCAGAGGGGCATCTCAGGGGCCTGCACGCGCCCAGATTGGAGGGACCACTCGGGCAGTAGTTCGATGTGTTAAGAATGCAATTGGAGGTATGTACGAGTGTGGGTATAATAAAACATCATACCATATCATAACATATTTTAACATATTTTCAACTATTACCAAGCAGTATACAACATGATAAAACATCATAGGAACTTAATATCTTAAGTAAGACTTGGAAAGTAACATCTCATGCACAATGTTTTGATAAACTATGGCCGCTGGGCGTGGTTCGACCCCTCCTCCTCTCAGAGGCCCCACGGTCGCCGCGACACAGCAGGCAGCGCACTGGGGCCTCCCAGAGGGGGCCCTGGCAGGGGGGCACGTCATGGGCCCGTGCGCGCTCGGCTTGGCGGAACCCCTCGGACAGAATGGCTGGTGTGAAGTCGGGCCTGTCCCTCTGCAGGGGGAATCTTCAGAAATAGTCAAAGAATAGTCGGGGGACTATTTTTTGACTATTTTTGAGTTTTTTTTTGTTTTTTTTTTTGTTTGCCCAAAATCCCCTTGTAGGGGGACGTGCCCGACTTACGGCTAGTGTGAGCGGTTGGACTGGCCTCCCGGGGGGACAGCAGCTGGTGCATCAGGGGCCCAGTCGCGCCCAGAGATGGTGGGATCTCTCAGGCAGAATGGCTTGCGGGTGTAGGCTCGTCTCGCTTCAGAGCCACTTGGTCACCGCGACGCAGCAGGTATTGCACCCGGGGCCTCCTATCCTGGGTGGTGGGACCCAGCAGGAGGCATTGGGGGCTGGGGGGTGAGACCGAAGTGAAGCAGAGTCGCCCCACTGGGAAGTCGGCCTCGGTCTTGGTTTTCCTGCCGTGCGTGCGGGCGAGGCGACGCAGATCGAGTCCCTGCACTGCGGGCGGGGGCGTTCGTTCACGAGTGTGCTTCTGTAGGAGGCTGCAGGCCCTGGAGGATTCCTCATCTGAGACGGGAGGCGTTGGTGTCCATGGACCGGCTTCGAGACCCTGGGTTCCTTATCTAAGGTCGGCGGCGAGCCCAGCGGGAAGCGAGAGGTGTCGGGTCTTCTCTGAAGGCTTTGAAGTCCTCCGGCCTTCTGAGGAGATTCTGAAGCCTTCCCCGACGACACAGAAAACCTTTCAGAAGGCCGGAGCGCTTCTGAGAAGTCCCACCGCCTTCTGGGGAGGCCTTCCCCTTCTCACTTCCCCCCTCGCTCGCCGCCGATGGACGACTGGAGTTCGACCGGCTTCCAGACCCGGGGTGCTTTGTCGAAGGGTTCCTTGTCCAGTGCCTTCACTCGGCGGCAAGCCCGGGGGGGGACGTGAGAAGGGGCGGGCCTTCTCTGAAGGCTCGGACGTCCCCTGTCCTTCTGAGAAGTTCTCCAGGCCTTACTCAAAGACACCGCCAAACTTTTCAGAAGGCGCGACGGTTTCTGGAGAGCCCCGCCGCCTTCAGAGAATGCCGTCTCCTTCCCACTTCCACACTTCGCTTGCCGCCGATCCATGGCCGATCGACGATTGGAGTTCCACCGGCTTCAGACCCTGGATGCCTAATCTAAGGGTTCCTTGTCCATTGCCCCCACCGCCTTGGGAAAGACTCGCCATCCACTCGCGCAGCGAAGGACAATTTGGAAACCGAGTTTGTGCGGTGCCAGGACGAGACCACCCTTTTGAAAACGACGCGCCCTCTATTTGTGCTTTGGTTGTGTAAATCGCTGGTGTGTGGCGGCAGCAAAGCGATGGCTCAAGTGACAAAGTATTTGTGGTCCACGCGTCAACGCGATCTGAAGTCATCTGCTCGTTTAGGCTTCTTGCGGTGACGAGGACGATGAAGATGAGGATGTGGATGCTGTTGCTGCTGGTGGCGACGGCGGGCCTGTCTAAGTGTTCCTTGCCCAATACCCCACCGTAGCTACGCCCAGGACGCGCCACAAGCACGCGGGCGCTCTTTGGCGCCGGGGCGTGCCCCCATGGTTCTCCCGATGGTCGTTCCACGCCGCTTTCTGATGGCCGGGCCGCTGGTTGTCCTGCTGCTTGTCTTCTGTTTGTGCCGATGGTTGTCCCGATGGTTGTCCCGATATTTGTCCCCATGGTCGTCCCGATGGTCGTCCCGATAGTTGTCCCGATGGTTGTCCCGATGGTTGTCCTGATGGTTGTCCCGATTGTTGATCCGATGGTTGTCCCGATGCTTGTCCCGATGTTTGTCCCGATGGTTGTCCCAATGGTTGATCCGATGGTTGTCCCGATGGTTGTCCCGATAGTTGTGCCGATGGTCGTCCCGATGGTTGATCCAGTGCTTGTTCCGATGCTCTTCCCGATGCTTGTACCGATGGTTGATCCGATGGTTGGCCCGAATGTTGTCCCGATGCTTGTCCCACTGGTTGTCCCGATGTTTTGTCCCGACGTTTAAATTGCCCCGATGGTTGTCCCGATGCTTGTCCTCATGCTTGTCCCGTTGCTTTTGCCGATACTTATCGTGGTGTTCACCCGATGGTTGTCCCGTAATTCTCAATTTGCTGTTCTGTGATTCGTCCGTGGTGATCTCGATGTTGTCCCGTAGCTGTTCCGCGGTAGTCTTGTGTTTGTTTGCAGTTGTTTCGTAGCTGTCTCGTGGTCATCTTGTGGTCGTTATGTAGTATCCACGCGTTCGGTTCGTGGCTGTCAGTCGGAACATCGTGGCACTGGTAGATCGTCAGACTCAAGCATTGGTAGTGATATCGACAAGCTGTATTTCTAAGTAAGACCAGACGCTCGTACGATTGATTGATCGGTCGTGATATTATCGGTCGTTTGTGGGTTTTTCGTGATTGAGGCCCATCCATGAACACTGATACCAATAGATAGATAACATACGATATATAGATAGCGTGATCGTTTGTGCATATGTATGTATGTATGTATGTATGTATGAATGTATGTATGTATGTACGTACGTACGTATGTTTATCTGTAGGTCTGAATAGGTGTATGCATGTATGTATGCATGCATGCGTGTATGGATGCATGTAGATATACATATATATATATATATACACATGCATATGTATGATACTTGGGTCCTACTACGGTACTCCATGGCCTTGGGAAGCCGTCTTGGGACCCTCTTTTGGCAGTCGTGGGTCTTTCCTTTTGGCGTTTTAGGGCCATTTTGGGGCCGTCTTGGGCCGTCTTGGGGCTTTCTTGGGCCCTCTTGTGGGCCTCTTGGGGGCCTTTGGGGATGTCTTGGAGCGATCTTGGGGGCCAATCCGTCGCGGAGCGTGGGAAGCCCGACCAGGCGAGAACGCTAAGATCAATGGAACACGTAAAGGACATCGTATTTTTGACCTCTTGGAGGTCTTCTTTGTTCCCTCTTGGGGCCTCTTGGGGGCCTCTTGGACCATCCTGCGGCTATCTTGCGCTGTGTTGGGCGCATCTTGGGCCGTCTTTGAGGCATCCTGCGGCCATCTTGGACTCTCTTGGGGGCATCTTGGGACCGTCTGGGAGCCCATCTTGGCCGTCTTGGAGGTCATCGTGGGCCATCTTGGAGCCATCTCGAGCGGACAATTCCTTTCCGAGACGGGGCTTTCTGCAAGGCTGACGGGATCGGGAACCTTGTGGAAGGGCCATTTAGCACGCCGTGCACCCTTGTGGCAAGCACAGGGGACGGCGGATAAACAGGGGGCGTCGGATCGAAGGCTCCTACGAGCAATCACCGCCGCCCCCGCCCTTGGAAACGCCCACGCGGCCAAACGTTTGGCCGACGTTTGGCCAAGCTATTAGACTATGTGTTCTCCCAGCCCCGGTGGAACCCCTTGGGGGAACATTCGGGAGAGGGAGGGGAGAGGGAGGAGGATGACGATGAGGAGGAGGAGGAGGAGTAGGATGAGGAGGAGGAGAAGGAGGAGGAGGAGGAGGAGGAGGAGGAGAAGGAGGAGTAGGAGGATAATGATGAGGAAGAGGAGGATGAGGAGACGGGAGGTGGAGGGGAGGAGAAAGAGGAGGAGCATGAGGAATAATACCAGAACGAATATTAGTAGTAATAGGAGGAATAATAACCATTCCAATATTAATAATAAAGCTATCGCTAAGATCACTGTTGCTACTGCAAGCAAGAAGGCTACTAATCAGACTTAAGAAGAAGACTAGTACTACTACTCATTAATAATCGTAGCATGGCTAATAATACCAAACATTTCTGACACCAATAACATTATCACTATTAGTAATACAACCAATCTTATGATCAATACGGCGGATATACTATTAATTCGTATTATTATTATTATTATTGTTGCAGTTGCTGCTCTTATGCGTTGTCGTATGTATGTGTATATATATACAGTTATTAGTACTACTACTTAAGATAGTACTAAGAAGACGAAGAGGAGGCTTCTTGAGGTTCTCTTCGACCCTCCTGGGGGCTTCCTTGGACCCTCTTGGGGGCCTCTGAGGGGCCTCTGGGAGGCCTCTGGTGCCCTCTTTGGGGCCTCTTGGGGGCCTTCGGGGGCTGTGAGCCCTTCGAGTGGATCCCGACATTCAGGGCCGAAGACTTCTAAGGGACATGAGGACACTCCAATTCGTGCCTCGAGGTATGGTGGCGGACATAGATAATGATGTGGGTATGTGTATACGTATCTATATTTACATATCTATCGATCGCGGGATCGACACATGAAAATATAGGTATATTGATCGATGGATCGGTCGTGAGACCGACATGTGGTGAGATGGATAAGCAAGTCGCGAGATCATTAGGTGCACGTTTTGAACATCTGATCCGACGCCAACCGCAAACCGAAAGTTGCATCCGTCCCCCAAGCATCCTTAACACCCGAAGGGTGATGTTATCGGTATCTAGTGGCTGTTCGCGCCCAGATCGGGAGGGCCTCTCAGGTGGAATGATCGTTCTATGCCCCATGATCGGTGCGATGTAGCAGGCGTGGAGTATATCTCAGGCCCGTTTACGTCCAGACTGTCAGGACCTCTCGGCCAGAGCGGCCGTCTAGTGGAGTTCTTCGCAATTCTTTTCAAGGCTCCGTGATCAGCGCGATGTAGCGGCAAGGGCACTGGGGCTGCCAAGGGGGGAACCGCC